GACTATACATAGTCCGCGATATCAATTACATTTAACTGGAAACGAACGTTATCTTGGCATCCACCAACCAGCAAATCTGCGTCATACTTTGAGCTTGGTACACTTACTTGAGAATCCTCTTTAATTTCCTGAACGCTGATTTCTGGAAGTTTGACTTTCTCTTGACTCGTTTTCTTGTGAATTTCTGGAAAAGAAGTCGAATTTCAATATATTACATATATGGGATTTTTTTGTCTAGCATAGGTGAGTGTGTGACGAGAGTTTATCAAAAATTTATATGTACCTCTCCAGACATATCTCTGAAAAGTGATACAATTATGCTCTTACTAATCTGGGAAAACCGTATGAAGAGACTTTTATATTCCTTTACAATGATCAACCGACTATCTGTAAAGCAATAATTGAGCATTCGTTTTCCATTTGCGATCTCAATATGACAAATTATCAAAAGTATAAATAGGATACATTATTTATAGCATTATGTTACATATTATGAGAACGTCATTGTTCATACTATGAGAACATTATTGTTCATACTATGAGAACGTCATTGTTCATACTATGAGAACATTATTGTTCATACTATGAGAACGTCATTGTTCATACTATGAGAACATTATTGTTCATACTATGAGAACATTATTGTTCATACTATGAGAACATTATTGTTCATACTATGAGAACAATTATTGTTCATACTATGAGAACATCATTGTTCATACTATGAGAACATTATTGCTCATACTATGAGAACGTCATTGTTCATACGATGAGAACATCATTGTTCATACTATGAGAACATTATTGCTCATACTATGAGAACGTCATTGTTCATACGATGGGAACATCATTGCTCATACGATGAGAACATTATTGTTCATACTATGAAAGCGTTATTGCTCATACTATGAGAACGTTATTGCTCATACGATGAGAACATTATTGGATAGAACATGAGAACATCATTGTTCATACTATGAGAACATTATTGCTCATACTATGAGAACGTCATTGTTCATACGATGGGAACATCATTGCTCATACGATGAGAACATTATTGTTCATACTATGAAAACGTTATTGCACATACTATGAGAACGTTATTGCTCATACGATGAGAACATTATTGGATAGAAAATGAGAACATCATTGTTCATACTATGAGAACATTATTGCTCATACTATGAGAACGTCATTGCTCATACTATGAGAACATCATTGCTCATATGATGAGAACATTATTGCTCATACGATGAGAACATTATTGGTTAGAACATGAGAACATTATTACTCATACTATGAGAACATTATTGCTCATACGATAAGAACATTATTGCTCATACTTTGAAATCATTATTGGATAGAACCTGAGAACAGTATTGCTCATACGATGAGAACATTATTGCTCATTCTATGAGAACATCATTGCGTATACTATGAGAACATCGTGGGTTATAATAAGAGAACATCATTGGTAAAAACGATCAAGTTAACAGAAAGTATTACCTGTCCTAGGAGTTTTCCTATGGATTGATTGTTTTGATGGTTTAATTTCATATTTAAAAAACCTCACATCGTCCTCTTCCCCCTCGTCTTCTTTTAAAGCTTTTAGTTCTCTTTGTTTGGCTATGACACCTAACATAGCTAGAATAAATGAACACACAAACGATAGTTGAAGACCAAGAACTTTTTAGGAACGGATATAAGATGCACAAAATTCATCGCAGGACAGCTTAAATCCATTGGCTTCTTGGAGCCTTTGTCAGAGCCCCTATATTTAATGGGATTCGGTCCCTTCTTTCGGGTCAAATGTACTTTCTTTGGTTTCCTCTAACATGTTGTTACACGTGTAGTAGCCTAAAGCTATTTTATTTTCCTGCAACATTGGTCCATACATTGATTCTTACCAGAAGCATGACTAAAAGCTCGACCACACCCCAGTTCTTCTGTCGTCTGTCCTTCAAATATTGAATCATTAGTAACATCAACTACGTACTGAACTCTGACAACTTTTACATGACCCTATAATAAAAATTAACAAAGCAAAATGGTTACTCATACCTTGTATATCTAAAAAAAAATGTTTGTAT